GAAAGGCCGCTGTGGTCGATCAACCGGCCCCTCCGCGGCGGCCGCCAGACCCTGCCCTGCCCGACGCTCCAGCAGACAGAACGACGGCGCCATCGCAGGAGTGCGACCGAGGATAACCCGCAGTAGTCCTCGCGCTTTGCCCTGCTCGGTTGGTTCGGGGACGCCAGCGGTGCGCCCCATGCTGCTTATCACTATTAACATTTACTGCTATGCTCCTCACGGGAGCGTTTTATTTTTCTTTGGGTATCGACGTAATGATTCTATGATTACTATTTTTTTTGTGTGTGTGTGTGTGACGAGAGTAAAAAAGGTGCGTCCCAGGACTTCGCTAGACCCATGGATTCTACCGAAGCGGAATAGGACTGGGTGTATTTTTTTTTACCCTCCCGACCCTACGAAAAGTGCATGATGTGGTTCAACCCTTCTCCAAGCGATCCCCCTTTTCTTCCCCCCCCTCCCTCCCCTCTTTGTTTTTCTGGCCCCGGCAGTTCAGACACCGCAGGACAGAAGTGTCCCACACCAGTTTCACAACCCACCCACTAGCCAACCCCATCCCCAGCGAACCCGACCCCGACGATGGTCAAGGAGACGGAGTTTTACGACCTCCTCAGCGTCAGCATCGACGCCGACGAGGGGGAGATCAAGCGCTCCTACCGCCGCCTCGCCCTACGCTACCACCCCGACAAAAACCCCGGCGACGACCAGGCCGCCGAGATGTTTAAGAAGATCAGCCACGCCTACGAGACGCTCTCCGACGGGGAGAAGCGCCGGGTCTACGACCTGCACGGGCGCGACGGCCTCAGCGCCGGGGCCGGCGGGGGGGCCGGCGAGGGGGCGTTTATGGACGCGGAGGACGTCTTTTCGATGTTCTTCGGCGGCGCCCGCCGCGCGCGCGGGGAGCGGAAGCCGAAGGACCTCGTCCACGAGCTCGCCGTGACGCTGGCGGAGCTCTACGCCGGGAAGCTGCGGAAGGTGCAGGTCGCGCGGCATCGGCTGTGCGGGGCCTGCCAGGGCGAGGGCCTCCGCCCCGGGGCGGTCCGCGGGGCCTGCCGCACCTGCAATGGCCACGGCGTGGTGGTCAGCCAGCAGCAGCTCTTCCCGGGCTTCGTGCAGACGATTCAGATGGGCTGCGGGAGCTGCCAGGGCTCCGGCGAGGCCACCCGGCCCGGGGACCTTTGCCCGCACTGCCACGGCAAGCGCACCGTGCAAGAGAAGAAGCTGCTGGAGCTGCACATCGAGAAGGGCACCCGCCGAGGCGAGGTCTTCCGCTTCGCCGGCGAGGGCGACCAAATCCCGGGCGTCCGCCTCGCCGGCGACGTCCTGATCTTCATCGGCATGCCAAAGCCGGACGAGCACTTCCGCCGCATCGGCGACCACCTGCTCCTGCGCCGCACCATCACCCTGCACGAGGCCCTCTGCGGCTTCCACCTCCCCATCACCCACCTCGACGGCCGCGAGGTCGTCGTGAAGGTGCCGAGCGGCCAGGTCGTCAACCCCACCAACGTCTGGAAGGTCAGCCAGGAGGGGATGCCGCTGCCGAACACCGGCGGCCTCCAGCGCGGCGATCTCTTCATCCTCTTCGGGGTGAAGTGGCCGGAAAGCCTCCACGCCGACCAGCTCGATCTCATCGCGCAGGCCTTCAACGTCCCCAAGGCCCTCCCGCGCCTGGGCGGGCTGCAGGTCACCCTGGCCTCCGTGAACCGCCGGATCAGCGGGATGAGCCGGCGGGGCGGGG